GACCACGTAGCTTTTATTATATATTCACTTGGTACAATCTGTACATAGCCAATTCTTGCTATTTCTAGAAATATATATTTCTCATTGCTGAATGGTTGATTGTTGTTCAAAGAGTGCTCAACAGGTGTCTTGAACTATTAGTGTTCTGATGTAACCATTTACGATACGATGCCATATAATTATATAACGAACGATAATTGTTAATCTGCAGAACGTATCTTCCTGTGATGTAGAAGTGGCGACACGACAACAACACTAGTACTGTGGTCACGGAGTTTCCAGTTTACCATTCAGCATACCAGAAGCAGCCAACCGGTTCATATTCAGGAGTTCTTTTTCATCTTAGTTTGAAAATTAATCTAAGTTTGTAGAATTAATCATGCCAACAGAAAGAACTGTTTTTCAGCATTGGCCTTTGTCAAGGAATCCATCCACATACTAGTATTCTATGACGTCCCGTTATGCAGCTTGTAGGTCTATGAATCAGTGACCAGTAGCAGATAGTTTGTGGCGTCCTCCGCCTCTACCCTTTTTATTTTAGTACATTTGCACAAAACAATCTAGGTGAGGGTATTGTGTAATAGAATATTAAGTCATATATTCACCTTTCTTAAGTAGACTACATATTTTATAAGTAATGGCAATGATCTTGACATATGTAGCGCATGCTATTTTCATAATAGTGATAGCAAGTGCAAGAACTATTGACTCGTTTCCCGCCAAATGTTATGTTAATGATAGAATCGACTGCCCGAAGTCCAACATTACCAGTCTACCTACAGCCACTAACCGAAGTATAAGTCACTCAAACTTCGTTTTCCTTCAAGAAAACCGTATCAGAGCCGTCCACGACCTATCTGGCTTTCCATATCTCGTCAGACTAAATCTGAGCCACAATCTTATCACAACATTTCCTTGGGAATCGCTAAAACAGTTGGGGTTTTTGACCACGCTTGACTTGTCGCATAATCAGTTGTCTTCAGTGAGAGTTATTATCAGTTCTCCACTGACGCCATATTTTCAAGTAAATGTAGCATATAATAGGCTGGCCACATTTTCAGAGTCAAACATGGGCCGTACATATTCTGATGTAGGGAAGAAAATAACCGTCCGCATCCACGGTAACCCGATTCACTGTGACTGCCGCATGTCGTGGCTAGCAAGGATCGCTCGCGAGTTTGGCCGGTGTTGGCCATATAGATGTGCAGCTGCTTTAAAAAGGCATCCTCTTTATTCTGATTTTAGGGAAAGTTTGAGTAAAATTAAATGCAGCAGCCCTGAAAATCTAAAGGAAGTCCAAGTATCCAGGGCAAACCTACCTGCTTGTAGCCTGCAGCTGGAAACCAGTGATCTGTTACCAGGGCCAACACAGACCAGTTCCTCGGTTTCAGAGCCAACACGCGCTCAAGAAAATTTTCCTTCAACCCCGTTCAGGAAGACCCCGAGTCAGAAAATGACCAACATTTATTCAGAAATAACTAAAGCCCTACTGCCCACTCCCGGAAAGCCATCGGACGACTACTATTCTAAAATAATGCTGATGAATAAAACCGAACTTTTTGTACTATCAAAAGACCATAACGATCATAATCAACACATCAACCAATCGATTTTCATGAAAAAGAGAGCTCGTACAACCACAACTGATTTCATCGGCCCTGCAGCAACTGTAACAGCGACCTTTGTATTTCTTGTTGCCTTGCATTTTAGGCTGTGCCAGCGATTATTCAATACAAATCAGTAAAATGTTAATTTGGAACATTTGGCTTAGGTGGCGGCGTCGTGTTGCTCAATAATTTATACACCGTATACGTAACTTCGCAATTTTACGTACAGCACATTCATCTATTTATTTATTTATTTCGAAAAACATATTACCGTGTCTGTACCAAACTCTAGACATGAATACGTTTGTATAACATTTTTCTTTTTCTGAAACGTTATACTTTTCGTAATGTAGAGACAAATCTGGCCATGTACATAACTTTCATTCCACTATATTCGATTCTTTGACTTGTGTATAGATGTGCGTTTTACTACGACGCATATTAAAACGTAGCCTTTGTGGATTATAGGGTTGCTGGTGGTTGTAACCTTAGAATGTGCAGTTGTTTGAGTCTTGCTTGTTCTTACAATTCCATGCACTTTTTTAAAGAAAGGTTGTGACACCATAATGGTTGCCACGTTTTCGTCGAATAACAACGAAGATGCATCGATATCCTAGCCTACTGTTGGGGCTACATTTCACTTCAAGATGTAAACGTATGTATCTAACACGTACACCAACTTTTACTGAATAAACTTTATATCCAGACGAAATGACAATCACAACTTAATCTTGTGTCTGTCTTTTTCTTCTTCTAATCATGGAAGAGTCGATTACAACTAAGCGCCTACGCAGTTTGTCATTTGAGAAGCTAAAATTACATCACATATTCACAAGACTTCTCCATATATTGGATCGAAAACACGTGGATACACCTCATGATATTTGCTTCTCAAAAAGATACTTACTACCTTACAAAAACTTCATAAAAGTCGTGAAAAGTGTATCCTATCTTGCCTGTTATTTGAGGTATGATAGAAAGCACATTGTGTCAGTGTACATTAATTGATATCTATATAGATGCCTTCACTTAGAAGGTTATGTCTTCACTAGATAGAGATTGTGTGTGCTGGTGAGTCGTTTTAACGGTTTTGAAACACGCCTTTAAAAACAGCGATGATTCCCCATGCCAGACTCGTAAGATGAGTTACATATATGTGCATTTTCGTAATAGGAGTGGTGCATACTGTATTACATGCACGTGCGTGTACATGTGCGTACATGCACGTGCGGGGACATGTGTGCCACGAGCAAGATTTTGCAGCCCTGCTCAATCCTAATCTACTTCAGCTAGCTTTCGTACTGCTAGCTATTCTCACGCGCCTGCGGCAGTGAAGAAGGCGTGGAACTTCTGGTTTATGACGGCTAGCTAGCGAATACCACCATAAGGTATGGATCTTGACTCCCCGAAGTTACTCGGGTTTGATGTAAATTTATGTATAACGTTATGTGTTACCTGAGACAGCTGATCTTGATTAAACTGTGAATTTTGGGATCGCATGGACCCCAACACTATTTTTGTACATACCTGAACTATACAAAACTTATACAGAAAAATGATATGCATTTTCGTATCTATGGTGATTTCATTCTAAATAAAATAAAGAGGTGTAGTGGTAAAAAGCATATCTGGCTTGTATGTAAAAACCACACTATTCAGCACAGGGCATTAATCATAAATGCGTGAAACGCAATGATATCTAGCGCATGTAGTCCAACTTTGGATTTACAACATGTATGTTCCATGTTAATGCAGGCTCTGTGATTCCTATCATCGCAAACTGGTATATCATCGGTCAGACCCACCGTCTACTTCTAAAACTGGTGAAAAAACTTCACATTGAACACACCAGGCGACGCGCCAATCGTCAAAGAGAGAAAAACTACCTTCGGTTGAGTAATCATAAGTGACAGGACAATATTGTAACGGTACCAGGCACCAATCAGTGTTGCTCTTGCATTTACAACTCACATAATAGTATATAATTATAGTATTATATACTAATAGTTTATAATAGTGTTATTTCTTATCTGATATGTTGTACGATGATCATCAGGAAGCATTTGACATGTTTCGTTCTTGTAAAACTCCTAACATGTATCACGGGCAATTTACTACCGGCTAGATGTTATACAACAAGAAATGAAATCAACTGTCCGAAGTCTAGTATAACCAGTTTTCCCGTTTACCCACCAGACTTCAATGTGTGGAAAGTGAAACTTCAGCAAAATCTTATCCGAGAAATCCGAAACGTATCTGGTTTTCCAGGTGCGCATGACCTAAATCTTAGCCACAACCTGATCACAACATTTCCTTGGGAGGCTTTGAAAGATATGAAGTCGTTGAAAATACTCGACTTGTCTCACAATCAGATATCTTCTCTTAGAGCCGACTTGGCTATCATTCGTGGACTGAAAATTAACTATATAAATATGGCCTATAATAAGCTCACTACTTTCTCCAAAGCAAACATGGGTATGCCCCCTACAAGCTTTTGGTTTAGAGTTCAAAGGTTTGTCCATGGAAACCCAATTCACTGTGACTGCCGCATGTCCTGGTTAGCCAAGTTGGCTCAATCATATTACTTCTGTTGGCCACTTACGTGTAGCAATGCTCTGAGATATGGTCCCTTTAATGGCAAGCTCAACCTGCACTTGCTTAAATGTAATAGTCCTCAAAGTCGGAAGGGGGCCCCACTGCACACGATACATCTATCTGATTGCTCTAAAGGGGGTGAAATTATCCATAGTACTACTGTGGGTGAAATTATCCATAGTACTACTGAAATGACTGAAACCAGACCTACAATTTTGGGAAATTCAGTAGACGATGTGAAAACTGAATATACAGTAATGCCGTGCAATGCTGTCTTTATTTTCAGGAAGTAAAGTTCCATAACATAATACCGTACCACCACAACTTCTAGCCCACCGTTGTAGTGCTTGCACCATACATGTGGCCCCAGGGCTGTAGAAACGTAGATAGGCGCCGCCCTATAACAACTCGCTGTGCCATCAATAAAAACTTACACGTTACATACAAGTGACCAATTCAACTTGTCAACAATCAGTTATTGGTCTTTGTGGGGGTTCGAATAAAGTACAATTACGGTTGAATGATACTTTACCTTTTGAAGGCATTTCAGTACCCCATACACCCCTGCATATGAAGTGGTCTCATCTATCGCGCTCATGCATGTAAGGTATATATCACATATGTAATATCGCTCCTGGGATTGAAACTGTTTCTCCAATTTGTGTTTATCACGCCAGTATATTCTCAATAAAGATGAATATAAACAATTTTGTTTTTATCCTGTTTTTTGTATACCCGAGGAATTAAAAACGTACCGATATGAACTGCGTTGTGATGCTATCGTTACCTTTAACCTTTGGCCTTAGTTTGAAGTCCAGGACGTCAGTGTGACATTTTCTCGGTGCTGCGTGGTTTGACGATTCCTCAGAGATAACACCTTAAGTTTCTTTTTTTTTACACCGTTGAACGAAGTCTCTACAAAGGTAAGTACATACTTGCCATAACTGAGGTCTTAACAACCTGTCTTGCAATGTTAAATGCCGTGACAACTGGATTAAGTGCAGAAAATCCTTCGTGTATTTTTTTTCAACGATACGTAATCCTGCATCACATATATTAAAACTCTCTGTGTGTTTGTTACTGTCGGTGTAATATGGTTAACTTTTAGCGCCAAAACGACACGTAATGATCCCATTTCGACAGAGAGGTGCGGCAGAAGCCAGTTCTATTATTTCATGAGCTCATAATTTGTTGTACATCGTCATGGTCTAGGTATTCATTTTGTATTTCCCTGACGCTGTTTTGACCGTGCGGTCATTGACGTAATGATCCCATTTCGACAGAGAGGTGCGGCAGAAGCCTTCTATTATTTCATAAGCTCATAATATGTTGTATATCGTCATGGTCTAGGTTTTCTTTTTGTATTCGGTGACGCTGTTTTGACCGTGCGGTCATTGACCTGTAGAACGAACAGCTTTGACCTGACCTACTTATGAAACATTACAAACCGTATGGGAAGTAAAGAAAAAAGCTATGATACTAGTACCTACATTATCACACGATTCGTATCTAGCAATAGATTCCAGGTTAGTTTCCAGGGTCAACATACACTAGTACACTAGCTGCGGTGACTCAGCAATCCTTTTTGTACGATAATACAGTATATCCTGTATTTAAAGGATTACCAAGTCGCGCCACGCCTAACTATACACAGACCTGGCACCAAGGCCAAGAAAATTAGACCACAGCCAATTTTGTTGTTGCTTTGTTATTTTAATGCTTGTTGCCCTCATTATATATATAAGATACCACAAACAATAGCAAGAAATTGCCCATCCCACTCTGAAAACTGCACAGAGTTAACAAGTTTTGATTAAATGTCTGAATTACAGACCTTGAACATGTCGGTGGCGACCGCCGTGCGGCGTTTGCGTGAGAACGTGGACAAGATGAAGTCGGTGGAGTACCGACGTGAGCAGCTGAGGGCGCTGTTACGCTGTATCGATGAGAACATGGACAGGTGGATAGGTGTGCTGAAAAAGGATCTACACAAGGTACAGTTTTGATCGTGGTAGGGCTGTGTACGTAAAAAAATTCAGGTACAGGTATGGTCTAGGTTAGCCTGGGTGCCATCTGATTTGTAACGGCACAAATCAGATGGCACCCAGGCTAGGTCTAGGTATAGGTATAGACTATATAGACAGACAATCATGTAAATTTTCAATCATCTTTCATATCATGTCACGGGTGAAATCTAGTAATTGCTTCATTTTCATTTTGTTGAAGTTTTGTGGCACTGTTAATGACCTGATAAAATGTCATTAAGTTTTTGCTTCTGCAGCAAGCAGCTAAATTCTCTCCTAGAATTCAACATTAAAAACAGAAATCAGTTGCTACCTTTTTGGGACATGTTAAAATTACAGTCAGTGTAATAAAAGATAACTTTATTGCATGCACTTCAATTGTATGAGGTACAACACATTACATGTACTGCTATTGTGGAGAAGGCAGCTCCAAAACTTGTTGTAAAAAGCTCTAAATCATCAGTAAATGGTACATTTTAAACAGCAGTCTATCTTGTTTTATCCCCCAGCCTAAGCTGGAGTGCCTGGGTATGGAGGTAAACTACAGCAGGAATGAGCTCATCGTTCATCTGAACAACCTGGATGAGTGGACCAAGCCGGAATACGTGAAGAAAGACCTGCCGCAGATATCGGACGAGTGCTACATCCAGAGGGAGCCGCTAGGTGTCGTCCTCATCATAGGAGCCTGGAACTACCCAGTGATGCTGATCCTGTGCCCTCTGATTGGTGAGTGAAAGGTCCTATCAGATGATGATTATCAGACCACGCCAATTTCATTCTCTGGTTCTTGGATTTCTGCAGAGCAGGCTGAGAAAAAAAAAGGCATTCTGTATGTCATACACAAAGATGTCACAAAGTCTACATACCATGCTGGTTAATTACAATGTTTTAAACAATGAATTTTTTTCTTTTAGTTTCCCAAATCAGAACAAATATGTAGTATTTTTTTTCCTTCTGCTGACTTGTTTTGTTGTTTTCAGCCGCTATTTCTGCTGGCAACTGTGCGTTGCTGAAACCTTCAGAGCTGTCTGAAGCCACAGCAGCTCTTTTTGAGGAGTTGCTCCCAAAATATCTGGACAAGGCAAGTATAGGGATTGAAATTTGAAAAAAATATCACTTGATCGTCCAGCTTTCTGAAATTGTCTTTTGTTTTCTGCGTGTAAATGCTACTCCATGACCTGCTTTCTATAGACCTTGGGCCACACAGTTGTGTATTCACTATAGTGGGGAGCTAGGCCACTGTGTGTTCAACTACCATATACCAACAACCAAAGTAGTAATAGCCCTCGAACCACACAGTTGTGTAATCACTATAGCGGGGGCCAGGCCACTGTATGTTCTACCATACCATAAAAGAGAAAGCAGCATGTACCATCTTTAAAGCATCTACAAATGTAGTATAGCTGGTATGAACATGCAACCTCTCAAATGCAAATCTAGGCTATTGCACTGGTCCTACTCATATGTCTAATGATATTTGTTTGTCTTGTCCAGGACTGCTTTGCTGTTGTTAACGGAGGTGTGAAGGAGACCACCGAGCTTTTGGAGCAGAAGTTTGACCACATCTTGTACACAGGGAACAGTAATGTGGGTAAGATTGTGATGGCAGCAGCTGCCAAGCACCTGACACCTGTCACCCTGGAGCTGGGCGGCAAGTCACCCTGCTATGTGGACAAGGACTGTGACATCGGTCAGTGGAACTTTTATTTGCCACTGCAAATAAGCCTAGCCTCTTTCTATAATCATCACTACATTTTCTTCCGTATTTTATAATGTATGATTTAGAATTGTAGATATCTTTTGTAATCAAATGCTATGTACTTATTCTTTTAAAAATACACATGCATACTTAAAATTTTAATGGTAGTACAGTTATCATAATCATACTGTCGGCCAAGAACACCTATTGGCTGGCTAGTATGATGTCATGATCTCATAATCAGTTTATCCCATGAGGACTTCTGATTGGTCAATGTGATATATGATGCATAATAAAGGACGTTGATATCTTTTTATATGTTTTGCAGACGTGGCAGCCAGGCGTATTGCGTGGGGCAGGTTTGTGAACTGCGGCCAGACTTGTGTTGCTCCTGACTACGTCCTGTGTCCCAGTCAGAACCAGGACAGGCTGCTGAAGGGTCTGCAGTCTGCCCTGGAGGAGTACTTTGGCAAGAACCCAAAGGACTCAGAAGGTTGGAAGATTTGTGACCATTATGAAATAGTGTGTATTTTGGAATATTCTCATGGAAGTTTGCAGTTTTGACAGTGACTTTTCACTGCAAACTAAGTCACACAGCAAATGATATATTCTTTTTTCCACACGAGCTAGATCTGCTGTTTAGGCTATAACTAGAATTTACTGCTTGAGTTTGACCATGCTGCAATTAAGTGCCACAAACTTAAAACAGTGGCTAGTGTAATCTCCAAGCAGATTATACGGTGGCAAGGCAGTACTCCATTGGCCAGAGGAGTGTCCATTAGCCACCGAAGGCCAATGGATACTCTCTGGCTGATGGATACTCTCTGGCCAATTTGATACTGTCTTTTGCAGTCGCCAAAAGATCTGCTTGGAGATTAGCTAGTGTCCATCATAATTAGAGGTTGACAAAGGCACGATTTGTTCCCACAGATTACTGTCGTATCGTGAACCAGCGTCACTTCCAGCGCGTGAAGGGTATGATCGAGAAGACCAAAGGCAGCGTCGCCATTGGTGGAGACTCCGATGAGAAGGACCTGTACATCAGCCCGACGGTCGTCAAGAACGTCCAACCCACGGACGCGCTGATGGAGAATGAGATCTTTGGTCCCGTCCTGCCGATTGTGACTGCAGAGAGCGCTGACGAGGCTGTTAGCTTCATCAACAGTAGGGACAAGCCGCTGGCACTGTACGCCTTCGCTAATGACAAGAAGGTGAGAAATAAAAGACTTAATTATCATTCCTATTTGTCATATGTACATGCAGCACTCCAGCACTACTCTTTCCTTAATATTTTACTGCAAAGTGTCTGCTCTCTTACTCTCTTCACATTAGATATCATTGTATTTCACTTCAGAATCTCTTTGTAGCCAGTCAGAACTATTACTATTAATATGTACATTGAAAAACTGCTAACCAAAATTACTCCTTCTTTAGACAGCAAAGTTTTTTATTTAGAGACAAATCAAATTCTACTACTAGATGAATTATAGAGATTACTTCCAGTCATTTATGAGAGTGAGAACCATCATTCTTCTTCAGCATCACTAAAATGAACTGAGTTGTTTGTACTTTACTTCCAGGTCATCCGTGACATCATCGAGCGTACGTCAAGCGGGAGTGTGTGTGGAAACGACACCATGATGCAGATGGCCCTGCCCACGCTGCCGTTTGGAGGCGTGGGGACCAGCGGCATGGGGAACTACCACGGGAAGTTTGGCTTTGACGCCTTCTCCCACAAGAAGGCTGTCATGGTGAAAGCACTCGCCATGGAAAACGTACGAGCTCTTGTGGTTCTGAGCTGTTGAGTTTAAAATTGACCTATGTCCACTTTTCCAATTGTGTGGGAAACAACAGTTTAATCTTAATTCAGGATAATTCATAGTTCTCCTTCTCCCCTTGCAGGTGAACAGCCTGCGTTACCCCCCGTACACGGAGAAGAAGTTGAGCTGGATCAGCTGGCTCACCGCCAAGAAGGAGAAGAGGAGGGGGGGACTGTTCGGCTTCCTGCCCTTTGCTGTGATTATGACCATCCTGGCAGTGCTCATCAGGGTAACATGAAACTCTTAAACTCAAGGATTGTTTCAGCCAGGGCTCGAAATACTGGGTGTATGTGCACCTTAGTGCACCCAAATATGGAGCTGTGCACCCATTTTTTTTGCTGTGGGTGCACCAGTGCACCTCAATATTTTCGAAAGTTCAGGTACTAGTATGTAAAGATGTCAAATTTATAGTAACATACATCTACATATCAGAAAAATAATACAATCATTGTTAAATGAAACATAATTAGGTATTGCTGACATTCTAGGTATTATGGTGCATCCGGTATATCCCCAAATAAAAGAAGTTTTTGAGCACCCAATTCTTAGGTTGGGTGCAGCAGTGCTTCCCAAAACATAATTTCGAGCCCTGGTTTCAGCCATCAGCCACACTAATCTGAGTCTTTTATGATTATGTAATCAGAGTAAATTAGTTGGTACATACATGTACTATTTTCTTTGGCCGCTACCTCACTTGAAAATGATTTTACATGATTTCTGTAATTGTTCTGTTGACTGTTGTACAACCAACCTACCCATCATGTTTAATATGATCTACACTACAGGCCTCCCCACTACTGATTTCTCTGTTATACAGGTATTTACTGTGATGACCTACCTTGGCTAATAAAGGTATCCTTTCTTCTAATTTCTCTCTTCTGAATTTGTTAGCTTTTGTATATGTTGAACATACATTCAAAGGTGTGGATCCACTCCCTCACTCACTATCCATTTTGAGCTCTCCATTCTACCATCTGCTGTTCTCAGTTCAGTGGGGTTAGCATGTTTGCATGCTGGCTGTTGAGGTTTAATGGCAAACTGTCAGGTGCCTCTGACAGTTGGGTTTACATTATGTAGATTGAGGAGATAAAAGTCCTCCTCTATATGCTGTTGATTACTCTCTTGCATGACTGTCCCTATGGATTCAGTCCTTCCACTCCCATTTTTAGAATCTTTCTGTGCCACTTTTCTTCATCCCTTCTCTGGAAAAGTTTGTACCATCGTAGGCAATTGAACTGCTTAACACATGTACTCCAAGCCTGCTTCATAACTTCTCAACTGACAGGCTTTCAGAGAGGTTCCTGGACCATATCCATTGGTGCATGGCACAACATGAAGGACTTGTTTCAAAGGTGTTCTTCTTTCAAAGGTGTTGAGCAGATACTTGGGCCTTGGGACTTTTGTTACAGGCAGTCTACATTTTCCATGTATAGTTTGTACCAATGTTTCAACTGCAGCATTTGTTAACCTGTGGTGTTTGTTTGTTTGTTTCAGTTCCTTGGATAGGTGATGGGACACAACAGCCAAATGTCGACGTTACACTGTAAGAAACCCTATGGACAGAAGGAGGCTACAGAAATGAAGAGAACTTTAAAATCTGTTTTTGCATTCCAGTCATAAATAATCAGAGAATACTTCTAAGAATATGATGACAGTTTCATTATATTCCTACAATGTATGAATTTGATGATGATGATGAATTCAATAATACAAAAATCATATTGTATATCCAAGCAACTTATATCTATATTTGCTTACTGCACACAAATTCACATGAGTTGTGTATTTTAGAGGAAATTGTAATATGATGTTTATACATGTTACAATCATATGAGCATAAGTGATAAGATCACTTCTTGTGGAGCATAAGATTTATCTAAATGCAAAATCTTAAACAAAGGCAAATGATTACATGATAAAATGGTCATCTTTCAAAATATTTGAACCATTACATAATGTTACCATGAATGGTATCAGTACCAATATTTCTCTTAACATTATCCTTTTACTACTTGCAGGCATTGTAGAGAATAATTATTGTAATATATAGTTCCTCAATAGAAAATTTAATCAAGCTTTAATTAAGCTAATATATTATCAGAAACATTGTGATTGTTTGATAACTTGCTTGGTAATGGCATAATACAAGTCACCATGATTGGAAGAAATTATGTGTACTTGATGCTTGATAGTGAAGTGTGTAGAAACTGCTATACAGCAAAGTAATTTGGTTTGGCTGTGAGAAACGTCAATGATTTTGGCACAGTAAATGAATTTTCTCTGGACATGATTGTTCCATGTTGTCTGATATAATCTCAAACAATCTGGAACTAAAATGGCAAAACTGGCATCCTTAACTCAATAGAGGTTGCCTCTTTACGGAGAATTATACTTATTTAGGAAACAGAAGTTTGAATATTTACACAGAATTTGAGTTAGAGTTATTGCTTTATTTGAAATGTGCCAAGCACTTCTAACTGATTATCTAGATGATATGCCTCTTTTTTTCTGATTAAAAAGGTTATCATCCATCCATGCTCACGTTTGTGTTTATTTTTGTGAGGCCATGTGTGATTTTATATTTGAATTACTAGCTAGCTATAGTACACAATTTCAGTTTCTTTGAAGCATGATGACTACATGTAGGTGTTATAATTATAACAAGCAAGGGGCGTTCCCTAGTATTGTATAATGTAGTCGATTCCCTATACAAAGTTCAGAACTTGAATAAAGAAAATGTTTGGCTATGTCGATCCGTAGTTCGTCGCAGTAACTATCCTTATCCTTTCCAAAAACGACTTATCATATAACGTTACTTTTGGAGCCAACAAATAACCAAATCTTACCGATGCGTAATATCAACAGTACGATGCTTTGATGCATGCGTGTCATCTGCAAATTGGAACGTATTGAACCATGCTAAACGAAAGCACAGAAGCCCATGAGAAACGTGTCGTAACACCTCGCTAATCCCTTACACACTTGTATATGAGATAATGCAATTGAGTAAAACCCAAGGGCCCACTCCCAGGGTGCAACTACTAATTAGATTAACTCGAGTTTCTCTAAGTATATCTATTAACAGACTTTTATACGTTGAAAGTCCCACGGTGTTGGTCAAAGTAATCATGTTACCTGAGTTTAGCTGTAATTTCAAATTCTACGTGAAGAATTTACCAATATTTTATATCAGAAACCAAAGCCGCACAGTCGAAAATTTGGGTAAATCTTATTTCTTCGTGTTGAAAATTGTAGTAAAATCCGTCTCTATGATAAAGATTCAATTGAAGACTTTGACACAGACTAGCATCGAACATAATATTCTTCTTCCTGGAGGTTTAGATAGACCAATCTCGGCTGCGTATTCATGCAAGTTAACAGTCCAACCAATAAGAACGCAACTGCCGATTGGTTTCAAGTTTTAATCCACTTACTTCACGCAGGAAAAACCACGTGGTGGCCTGTTTAGGCCACACCGTCTTAAGTTTATGGATGACATCTCCGCGCGCTTTGATTTTCGCCTGTTCTCAAAAAAAAAAAAAAGATCACGTCCTCCGATCCGAGGCTCTGGCCTGGCTCTAGACCTGGGTAGTTCATGGTACCTAGTGACAATATTATACGGAACTTATGGTAACAATTGAGGATGACACCCAGGCTGCTGAAGCTCCACGTCTCAAGACCTCAGTATATACGTACAGTGCCGATTCATAAAATTCCGCAAAAAGCCAGCATGTGCGTCGACGTCGCCATGTATACTGACCCATATTCACAATACCAGCTTTGTATGCCTTTGGTTTAGTAGCATTTTTATTTTGGGCCGGATTTTTTTTTTCGCCCGCGCACACTAGTTTGGGGGTCTTCGGAGGATGTCATCCAAAAAATTAAGACGGTGTGGCCTTATGTTTAATTCATGAGGGGCGGGGCTTCCCACCTGTGGGCCACACCTTGGCTACACCTGGCCTGGCGGGTATAAATACGGCACCGCCGGCCACAGTCGGTCATTTCTGGAGGCGGTGAACCGCACCGTGGTCGTCATGGCAGCTCTGCGTGGTCTGCTCCTTCTCTTCACCGCTTCTCTGGTTCTGGGATACTCTCAAGACGGTACGTCGCTCTATTTTACTTCACTTTTGCGTCTCTTGCGTACAAAATCGATGTATTCTTATAAGCCGGCGAATCATCATGCATTCGTGAAGTTTGTACGAAATATAATTCAGTGTCGTAGGCATGGTTCGTTGGGACAGCGCTTCTAGATTTCGTTCCCACGTGGTAACATGTTGTATCATGTTCATACGCTGGCAGATGCACAAATACCTGAGCCAAAACTTCGTCCCTTTCAATTTATTTGCGTCATTTCTGAAACGACCTAATGATGGGATTACAAAGTGTTTTTTTTTCACTCTGCGATATTTTGGAAGGTTATATTAATGTTGTCGTTTTTCCCGTGTCTGTGTAGTTCCGAACGACATCCCAGCCTACGCCAGCTCTGACGATGACAGCGGTTACCTGGGCGCTCTCGTAGACCTTTTGAACAACGGCCTGGCAGGCGCCCTAGAGCCATCGAAACGTGGAACGGACGAGGACGGAGGAACGGACGAGGACGGAGGCCAGGAGGAAGGAGGAACGGACGAGGACGGAGGCGAGGAAGAAGGCTCCGATGAAGGCCCTAAAGAAGTACCAGCACCCACGGAAAAGGCACCAAGTTAGTTCTATTACTGATTCGATTAGCCTTCTACATGTAGCAGTACATGAAACTTCTGTATTACTTTAGATGAAAGATTTTCTCCCTACAAGCCAAAAATTATGCATATTTGACCCTCGATGTCTTCAAATTACAACGTTTATTGCGACTGAAACTCGTATGCTTGGAATGAATTGTTCTTGTCTGTTTGCTGTAAAAAAAAAAGTTCTCAGCATACATTAACCATGGTTATATCATGCAGCCTTTGACTGCGACGCCAACCAGACCGTGTCGTTCAACTGGAGATGTGACGGCGAAGAAGACTGTGCCAACGGGAAGGACGAAGAAGACTGCGCCGGTAAGCGCCATTTTCTCTCCATGTAAATTATACAGGGTCTTGCATGTCTCGCCAAGCTAACTTAAAGTTGCTTTAAACTTAAATCAAAATTCCGTGTGCTTAAAAATTTTGCCCACGTGCACTTGGTCGTACTTGTCGCACAGAGCACTATTTAAAATACGTAACTTGCATCATCTGGTCAAGGCGCCTGCTACTTCATACATTTTACGTAACCCTCCTTGACCGCGGGGTCGTGTGTCGACTCGGAACCAAGAGGTCTCGGGTTCGAGTCCTGACATGCCACCGACCTCGTGCCCATGGGAAAGGCACTTTTCACAACTTTCTTCACTTCGCTAAGGTGAAAATGAGTATTGTATTGTCCCCTGTGTTGGTGCCGTCACCAGGTCTTGTGATTATATGATGGAATATATAAAAAAAACTTTAAATTTCAGGTTTCTGTGGGGACAATGGCTACCCGTCAGCCGAGTGCGCATGTGACAAGTGCAACTCTGCCCGAAACTCTCCCGTCTGTGCCTGTCCCTTCGCTGACTGTGAATCAGACTTGCCGGAATCTTGTGATGGTAAGCATTTGTTTTGTTCTTTTGGAAGGGGATCTTTTAGCATCTTTGATCTGCTAAGACCTATTGATACTAAGTTTTCTAACAAACTTGACCGATAGACGCATTGTGGAATTTAGTAATATATTTTGTACATCTAGTCGCTAGATGTACAAAATATATTCCTAAATTGCTACATACGGCAGCCGTATAAACGTAATTATCAACACATCCAATGATGGAGTACTTGATATTTCGTTATAAGAACTTTTTCCCGTAATTTCATTCAGGCGCAGAGACCTTCGATGAGCCGCTGTTCGGACTGAGCGCTTTGGGTTCCAAACATCCGTACGGCGGAAGGGTTGCCGCACGTAAGTGTAGAACACTTTCCTAGTGTACAGATTCCAGTCGCATCCACTCGTACATGCTCATATTCTTAAAAAGAATACCGCAACAGCGGCCCCGGTATGAGTGTACCGAAACATATTTCGTTCAGTAATATATAGAACACGCAAGTATGACATCTATGCCACCGTTTCCAATAACATTTCGCCAATGTGATTCACGTATTCCTGCCATGAATTTGATTATTATATTTCAGTCCATACTATTAAGATGAAATATCTTTTACCTCGCATTTCTCCTCCTGCCATTTAGTTAAAATGATTCAATTGCTTCATTTTTAGGCCAAATGACATGAAATTTCGCATGAAGACGGGGCCAAATACCCAGACGGTTTTTATACAGGCTGTAAATTATTTTTCTCCAGCTTGCTACGAGACTATTCAGTTGTTTTTCGTGGCCGACGGTTCGGCCAGTGTCGGCGCCATGAATTTTGAGCAGGTTAAGAAGTTCATGAGCGACGCCGTGGACTCGTTTGTGATCGGGCCCGGCCACACCACCGCTGCAGTCATACAGTACGCCTACGACTACCGACACGAAATATATCTGGGCCAATACCAAGACAGGTAACATTTGTGAATTCAAATTTGGTATCTCTTGACTCCCCAAGCAAATGTTTAGGCTTATTTTGGCGTGATTTTATGACTTCTTTATAAAGCTTTTTTTTGTACTGTTATTTTTACACCAGCTAAGTCATCAGATGACAAATTAAAACTGTCTGGCCAATTTGACACTCTTTGCAGCCACCAATACATCTTTAACATTCTGGTGGTCCATAAACTGCTCACCGAAATAGCTTGATCTAACTGTTTTGACAACAAGGCACCTTTTTTAAATCATTTTTAATATTTTTAGTCCTTATGCATGGAATACTCGGACTTTAGAAGTCGTTTTTAAGAGTCCTTCTGCATGAAATATAATACTTGACTATATTCGCATCCGCAGCGTTTCTCTGAAGAACGCCATCGCTTGCATCCAGTACCTGGACGGCGGCGGCACGCAGACGGCAGCGGCCATCAACGCCATGGTGAACGCGGCTATCCAGGTCCCCACTACCGGCAAGCGGATGGGCATGGTCATCACTGATGGGCGGAGTCAGGCGGGGAGGACGACTGTTCTGGACGCTTCCAACTATGTAAGTTTGATCCTGGCTGTTCATCACGCTTAGCAATTTAACCAGTGATAGAATGGCTATTAGCGGCTCGACCAATGAGACAGCGACTGCAGGTCCGTCAAATATTTGCGGGAGAGGCGGAGATTACATGAGCTGTGTATTCCTATAGCTTTCAACAGTTTCCGAATCCCTGCACCTTTACGTAGCGCCCAATGCGTAAGTCTTAGAATGTATATTTCTCGCATTAGGCTAGAGATAACGGCTTCACCATGTACGCTGTGGGAGTCGGTAACGCCGACAGCGCCGAGATGCTCCAAATCGCCGGCGACTCCAGCCGAGTCATGCACGTTCAAGACCACTCCCAGCTGGTGTTTGAAACCCTCAGACCACAAATACAAGGAGACTTCTGCCCAGGTTAGTACCATGTACATTTGTACATTTCTACAACCTATTTGCCTAGAAAATGAGTAACTGGTAACTTCAAGCGCCGGGCAAAATATTTTGTTTGATCTAATCTAACCTTCCACTTTTGACTGATGTCCAAACTTATCATATTACAGTAAGAGATTAAGACACTTAATTCATGCTTTAAAATGTTCGCTTTTTGTGCACGGTATATGTTTTGTAAAAGCCAACCTTTTGTCCTCTTCTCAACTGTTCACCTCAGATTACACGAACTGGACCATCTCCTGTAACGGAGACTCCATGACGGTGGCCATCCTGCGGTCCCGGATGCCCTCGCTCTCCGCCACGGACCTGCACCTGACCGACCCCTCCTGCGGCGCCACGGACAACGGCACTCATCTCGTCCTCACCAGCCCTCTCACCGGCTGTGGAACTTCTAGTTCCGTAAGTCACTTCAAATCCTTCTTGCTAGCCTATTTTCGTCTTGAAAACTGCAGGTTTCTAACTGTACTAAGAAACGAGGAGAAACAGACTTGTATTTACTTAATTGTTGCAACTTTACGATGTATACATGTAACGTTACCTGTATTTCATTATTTTGTGACTTGTACTTAACCCAGCCGGTATGTGTGTACCATTTTAAGGTCTTAATTCTTTGTCTTCCTGCAGGAGCAACCTAACAACATCGTGTACCGTAACCGTGTCACACAAGACTGGAAGAGACGGGCCCACAGTGAACCCATCATCAGGGACTGTGGGTTCATCCTGGACTTCAGCTGTGAGCTGCCCCGACACAAGACCGTGGTGGCCGACTATAACCCCATCGTCCAGCCGGACCGCTACTCGGAGCGGGGAAACGGACATATTCACGCCATTCTCAGGTATTGTACTATTTTGTATAGTGCTTTTCTTTTCAACATCGAAGTGCCACTCACTGCTCTTAACCCATCATTTCTAGAACCCCAATAGTTAACATCATGTTCTATAAAATCCCCATTTACTTAGCTACCAATGACATTCTCAATGCGAAACTTTAATAATATACTTCACCTTCGTCTAGTATTCGATTAATAGATGCTAATACAACGACCGAACGACTAAGAATAATAATCCTAGCTTTCCCTGCTGTCTACCTGTAACTTCATGCTCAGGACGTCACAACTGAGATGCTTTTAGCATTTATTAGGTCCTGAATGTTAACTGTCCATACCGTTGCAGGTTCTGTCGCGAGCCCGGCTGCCCGGCTTACATCACGGAGTACCCGGTCATGGCGCGTGTTTGTGAGGACATCTATGTGGAGATCCAGCTCATCACCGCCGATCCCGACCTCAGCATGCTGACGGAGCGCTGCGTGGCCAGGGACACACCGACAGTCGCCACCGGCACCACCGTGTACGAGCTCGTCAGAGATGGGTGAGTCTTGGTACTGTGTTCTACTAGTTTACTAATACTACTTTGGACACTTGCTAAAAGAGCGAGATTTAATGCTGGAACTAATTATTGGCCAACAACTATGTTCTAACTTTGTTGTAACCACGGCTACGTGGTGTCAACCAGTCTACAGACATTAATGGGTCTTTAGTTTCGTACCGCTCAACATTTCATGTGACTTGAACCAGCACACAAACGTTCGTAACTTCAGAAACGAGTAACTTTGCTTAGCTTCATAGCTTTCCATAGTTTGAAGTAGTTTTGAAGTGTTCAACGTACAATTTAGGTCTCGATCTCAAATCTCCATTGTTGCAACTCTCCCTTGTTGGTTCCCACAGCTGCCCCGTAGATCCGACCTATCACGAGTTAGCCGCTCCCAATCACGCCACGGACCGCTTCAAGTTCGAGGCCTTCAAGTTCGTCACCGACTTCCCGAAAGTATACCTGACCTGCGACCTTCTAGTCTGCAAGGCCTCTGATCCTGCAAACAGGTACGTTATGTTTCTCATCTGTATTCCATATTTCTCATCTGTATTTTATATAACTGCCTTAAAACTGCCAGTAAAACTGCCTTTCAACGGAACGACTCAATTAGGAGCTATGTTTATGAGACTAATAACTCCATGCAGATTGCACTTGTGAAATTCCTTTTCACATTCCTTTTCCAATTGCCTGAAAAAATGAGGTACAAAAAATGTACACGAATCCTACGACTTAACGTTTACAATCGCCTTAAAAAGACCACAAAGATGGTCAAAATCTAGGACTAAAGACCTTTTATATAAAGGAGTCTTTTCATTCCTTGAAACTTTTCCGTTTGCTCCCCCAGGTGTGCCCAAGGCTGTCAGCGCATGGTCATACCGATCGGGAAGCGGAAGCGGTCGGCGGACGACAGGATGGAGCTGAGGCGGACCGTCGTCAGCGGGCCCCTGGTCATGGAGATAGACGGCGATCGGAAATACATGGACACTATCTGAGCATCAGGTCCGACTGAACTTTGGCCTTTGTTAAAATTGCGCCGCTTTAATTTGACTAGTCTTTAAGAACGTAGCAATTTTAGTATGTGTATTACGTTTGGATTGGTTTAGATTTTCACATCAGGTTCTAGAACTATTTCCGTGGTAAATGCTTTAATTCTTGGACTAGTTAAATGTCATTAATGCCTTGTTCATCATTAAAAACTTGTTTTGTGCATTTTCACAGGTGCAGAAAGCCGACTTGCTGTCGACACCGTCAGCAAGATGAAAGACTGACTTTTGCGAGTTTGAAGGAAAAAGAGTACTAAATATATAAATGTATATAAATGTGATGTGAGAATATCGTTTGTGAGATTATTAGAAAACAACGCGTTGTGGCATGATGTATATAGTAGAACGACATTTCTGGTAGGGCATTGTATAAATCTGTTAACAATTTTGTACCAATATTGTCTTGTGAATTAAAAAAATGTCATAGAATGAATTTACTTGGTTGATGTCTTGTTATTTAACATAAATCATCGGTGAGATAGGTCGCTCTTTCATGAGTCTTTGGTTTACCGTTATTTCAACTGGGCGTTAAGAGATACAGCACTAATGATCTTGTCCCCCATGATCTTGTCCCATGACTAAATATAATTTTCAGTTACCTGCTTTTTAACACCGATGCACAAAACATTCTAAACATTAGAAACGTAGAACTCAGTTTATGAATTTCAAATAGTTTTACCTTACATAAAGTCCATTAAATCAAGTCTGCCTAGTCTAAAACTGACCCAACTGACCCGAATTTCCCTAAGTGCCATGTTGCAATTTTGTTTTAAGTCCCCTAAGTATCATTAAGTATGAAAAGCATAACCAGTTTAAGAGTACAATTTCTTACAAATAGCACCAACTGCATACTGAAAAATAAAACTTTTTAAGACCATTACACAAATTGTCCACAAAAGAAAAGACATGTTTTCTTAAGTTACTTTTTAGCATTAGATAAGTTCTGAAAAGGCAGAGTTCAAATATCCTGTCAACTTAACTTACCTTTCATAATGATCTTCTATTTGCACGCTTGGATCACTTTTTGGGTTTGAAATATTATCATGGTTTAGATATGACCCGCAATTTACTTTAAGTATTACTTATTCCTAGTGAGGCCTATTGCATTTTGATTTACCCTCGCATTCAAGTATACACCAAAAAACAAAGCACAGAAAGTGAGTATTCTTTTCATTTATTTACAGCTACATTTTGACAGTGGTTGCTCATAATAGATGCACTGGTCAGTACAGCATGCTACTCCTAATAATACTTCCTAGTATACATAACTTCAAGCTTACTTTGCAGTGTGAAGTGACATGGTAAATAGCATAGTTTGGAGGCAAGCTTCTTCTTCAGCCCTTAAACACTGTGAGAATAAAGATATAACCATCAACTAAGACACTTAAATACATACAGATATACATAATTACAACTTTTAAACAGATATGTTATTGCACTTTTAAGTAGGTGGAAACATAATATAAGCCTCTTCTCCTCTAGTCTTTCCCATAGACTCATTCTATAATTAACATTAATGAGAGTGACAGAAACAGCAACAAGACTTAGTGATAATAACAAAGTTTTGGAGTACATAATACATATAATTTGTGGAGAGAATATACAAAATATACATTTAGCATTGAAATAATTCCAACTGAAATTGTTATGTATCATTTCACTGTGACTAGAGGCAATTTTTCAGAACCATTTTTTCCATATTGTATAGACACTGTATTATAGTGGAAGAAATCTAAAGCCAACAACATGCATACATGTATCAAATATGACAGTATAGCATATCACAGTTCATGACATTCTGTAGGTATTCCCATCATGCAACTGTACACAGTTGGTATTCCCATGATGCAACAGGACCCAACAGTGTGTTGCCAACATCCAATGACAGACTTTGGTTGTGTAACAACATTTTTCACTGAAATGCACAAGATAATATCAATCTTATACCATTCTTATCATTCCCTTTGTAAAACTGGATACATTATAAATTAGCATATGATGTTATTTTTATAAAAAGCTGAAGCACATGCAATAATACATGATGTTTTTGGTGATCTATAAAACATAGCAGTAATTGACTGTTGTAGGTATAGAGATACTGATACAACTATAGGACACATGCTAAACTGCTAGTATATTACATAGCATTGCTGCTGTCCTACCCTTTTGTGTCCCTTTACCCAATTACCACCTTGGACACCATTTTAAATATGTACAACTTACTAGGCATTACATGAGGAGGTATACTATTGTTTCATGCTCTTTCCTTCGTATCATAACAGTACTTGAACAGTATTAGAACAGTACATATTATAAAGCAAAGGTCTACACTGCTACATCATTCAGAACACTCCCTTCCTATCACATAGAGGTTACAGTTCTAACATTTCAGTCATGGCGCTTGTCTTTTTTCTCTTACATGGAAGATTTTTAGAGGAATATCACTGATCTCACAAAGGAAAAGTTGCTTTTGTTAATGTTTATGAACAGTGGTGAATTAAAATCATAACATTTCATATTGGCTGTACTAGTCATGAGAGGCACTGTACAGCAAGAACTGTGGCAGCAAAAATGCTCAGTGACTAACAGAAACCATGAGAAGCATAGAAAGCCGTAGACTGTCTTCCAAGACAAAAAGAGCCCATCTATTACATGTATAAGCAATAGTCCTGCATGTACATGTACACTGTAGCCCTGCAACTATCAACTGTCATCCATTAGCACCTGGTGATTTTTACATATACATGGTGAATATGACATCTTGCACATTGTAAACAAGCAAATGATAATACAAACATAATTCAAGTAAACAGCATTCTCACAATCATTGTGCAATCTTTAGTTTTCTGACTAGCTACAGGTTTTAGCTGGTCATATGTGTACAGGTGTTTTAGGATCTCAAATTTGAAAAATTTTGTCCAAACAAATGCCAAATTTAGAATGCATGCATGGTGTTTCAAGCTCTTTTGCTAAGGGATGAAACCAAGAGCTCATTTTCCACAAATGTCAAAAAAAGGCAGCCTCTGAATCAGAATCAGTCCTACAAAAATCAATTCAATGCAACTTTTCTGTAAACCTTTATGGTCACAGCAAATAGTTTACGTTTGCCTCAATAAAAATCACATTGCACAAGAAACATTATTTTCATTTTGATTTGGCAACAAGACAACATAGCTTTGAAGATGAACTCAACATAACATTAAAAAATCTTATATTTACAAAAGTCTTAATAGTATATCATAGGCCATTTCAGGTATGGATTATGATTTAGTACGGGGGCATATCTGAGCAAAACAGATACTCATTTTTCATTATTTTTGGTTGTTCTTGTTGCTTGCTAATATTTTCCGCACTCTATTTATCATCTTCCTTGCACCAGTTTTATTCCTTGTTAAACTTGTGCCACCCAACAACTGTTTGTCTCATATGAAAATCCTGTTCAGGTGACAGAACACAACAAATAATACTTACTGCATTCTAAAATAGAAAATCAGAATAACACACGATATAAATCATACAAAATCACAGAAAAACAATGTGTGTACTACAAATCCTAAAGCTTGTGGTTTTGAGTAAGCAATTAATCAGGTTGCCTTCATTGTGAATGAAACCCTTTTTTCCCCTGGCAAGGGGAGGCAAATCTCAAGACAATTTTCTAACATCACCCCCAGAATAGCAATGGAATAGCCTTCACCATGACTCCAGAATAATAATATATCACGACCTTGCTGGCTAAAACAAGGTCTTCCAATTAAACTCCCTTTTCTCAAAGAACTAAAAAATAAGAAGTTCTTTTTGCGTTTTGTAACGATAAATCAACATTTCCTAAAGAGTTTAGTCAGCAAACAATGCATTAAGTTTATAGTATAAGCAACTTATCTAAAGTTTGGCATTGGTTACTGCATCATGGTACGTGTAGTTTATAATATGCAAAACAGCACTAAAGGGTCGAGGGTCATCTGACCTCAGACCAGCACATTTGATAAGCGGGGGTGTTGAGGGTTGCCTGCAAGGTGGGACTGTACCATCATTTGTCTGTGAGGGACAACTGGAGAATCCTTTCTAGTTCTTCTTCCTCTTCCTTTCTTCGTCTATCTGCTTCTGCCTATAGAGGTGAAAAGAGAAAAAATACATATGGTCAGACAGGAGTCTAAATCCCTCCTGCTATAAAATTGCAACATGATGTAACCCAACACTAGTTACCATGGTAACAGATAGTCTGGTTCAGGTCATTGACCTTCATTGTTTGCACAAGAAGAAACAGAGCAAAAACAATAAATTATGTTTTCCTTTGGTAAACATAAACTAAATCCAAAAGGTCATTGCCCCCACCTGCTCCTTGGCTGACATCTCCAGCGCCAGTCTGAGCTGTGCGTCCATGTCGTTGGGTGGGGCCTCGGCAACGGGCTGGACCACTGGGGCAGGGCAGGACTCCCCCGCTGCTGCTTCTGGAATGGACTCACCCTGAGCCAACATCAAACTCTCTTGGATAGCCCTGGAGTAAGAGGAAATGGACATGTTATCTAAACAGGGCTTCTTACATAAAATCTTACACAACTGAGGCAACACCAATTTAATCTAATTCTAATAGGTTGTACATCACATTGTATATATACCTCTGAAGTTGTTCATTTTCATACTCTTCTGGAGTTGTAGCTCCAAGAGCTTCCAGCATGGTCATCTGTGGACAATAAAACAATGAGCATTACTACATACCATGGGTGCACCAGTGCACCCAACTATTTTTGTAGGTATTTCTGTACATATTAAATGTAGTATAAAGGATATTCTTGCGATCTAATTGTCAGAAAAAATAACAAAGCCTTTTTTTAATTTCACATTCATTATCCATGAAAATATTCAATAATTAAAAAATACAAGATTACATCCATTCATTGTGCTGGTTCTCATGTCAATACACAGTAAAAAGATTTCTATTGAGGCGTTGCCAAAAACAAGAACTAAGTGTCCTGACCTGATCACCCACCACGGCGCCGTTAGCCTCTAACAGGCTCTGCTGGATGGCAAACTGCAGCAGGGCGTCGTCCTCGTCATGGTGACGCCTGCGTTCCCTGCGACCCGAGGCCTGGACTTGGTTATAACCAAGAGGAGCCTCGAAGGTCATGGGGTCAATGTCACAGACCATCTTGGTAGCTCCTATGGAGATCAAAAGGTCTTGTTAAAGAATCTAGTATAGTGTTCAACTTGCATGTATAGCATAATATGTTGAACTTTGACAAAATTTGCATACAGGGATGTCTCTCCAAATATTGAAGTAAGGATGTCTCTTTGATCAAATTTGGACATAAGGAGGTCTCTTTGACCAAATTTGGACATAAGGATTTCTCTTTAACCAAATATGAAAGTAAGGATGTCTCTTTGACCAAATTTGGACATAAGGATGTCCCTTTGATGACCAAATTCAGACGTAAGGATGTCTCTTTGACCAACTATGAACATAAGGATTTCTCTTTGCCCAAATTTGGACATAAAGATCTTATTTTGACCAAGTTTGGACATAAGGAATAAATATGGAAGACTTAGTATCTCTTTTGACCAAATTTGGACATAAAGATGAGTCTTTGACCAAATTTGGACACAGGAATGTTCCTGCCCACCTGGAGTGGCAGCCAGCAGTGTCTCCTCCTCAGTGGGTGATTCCACTTCCTCCTCAGTAGGGGACTCCACTTTGATGGCCGCCACCCCGTCCACTTCTTCATCCGTCCCGTTCAGGTTCCCGAATGTGATGCGAGCATTCAGCACGTGGAACAGTGGAATTTCTACAGAGAATGATAATGGTGAATGCTACAAATGTGAAAAAAAGACATGTACAAAGTGCATATGCCCAAGGCACCCCCATACCAAATTTCAGGTCAATTTATAGTGACATAATACATTTTTATCTTGAAATAGAAAACTGAAAAACAAACATCTACAATCAGAGATACTAATTAATAAAGAGAAATTAAAGATAAAAGTTATACATTCCACCAAAAAATCCCATACCAAATTTAGTTTAATATCTGGTCATTTCAGGGCACAGGAGCACAAAGTATACATTTTTAATTTTAAACCAACAATAGGAAAAAAAACTCACTAAAAGAAAATAATCCCAAACATTTACACCCTAACCTCTGACCTATACGACCTCTAACCCTATGTCCCCTGACCTATTTTGACAGGGAAGCCAGATGGGAGCTGTAGCGTGATGAAGTCCTTGAGGCGAGCGAAGTGTGCGTTACTGCGGGCCATCAGGTCAATAATGGGCAGTAACTGGTCCTGCAGAGTCAGGGGGAACTGGTCACACAGCCACAGGGTAGCCTACAGGGGACAGGACAAAACACATCAAAACACATCTTCCATGAATAGTTTCTTCAGGTTGGTAAGACACTGAGTAGACAGACTCTTTTTACACAACCAAGTCTTTTATTCAGCCGACATTTCGGTGACCGTTTGTCACCTTCCTCAGGGCAATTCTGACTGGTTCACATTGTATTGCAGCACAGGTGTCACTGCTAAAGATGCATTCCCAAATGTACAATATTTACATATCTACACATATGCACATATATGCCCATTCGTATTTCATTTTTTTTCTAAAGGCTCTCTTGAGTCTATGTCTCCAGACATGGTGGTAAAGAGACTGTTACGGCATGATAAATAAAATTCTGATTCACACTTTACCACTGGATAAAATTGAAATCTCATAATTATAATCTTCACAAACCCATTCAAGAGTTTGTGTAACACAAACTGTTCTTCACTAATCTCACCTTAAACTTCTGTGTTTTTGTGGTCTGTTCTATGGGCCTGCCGATGTCCCTCTCTCCAAGGTCAAACTCCTGGTCAAAATACTCCTCCGCCATGATGTTAGTTGGGTTGGTTGGGTTGGAGAAAACAAGAGTTTCATTCTGAAGAGAGGGCAAAAAACAAATTCTTATATGAATCATGCTGTTCACAAAATCATAAGCGAACAACTAGTTAGAGATCCATATGTCCAAAAAACATGGCAGACGGATACCACTAAAGCCCTGAAGAGTGATACTTTGTGTCACAAAGACTCTGTATCACTCACCCCTTCTGCACCCTTCAAATTCTCTTCATGTTCCTCCACTATGCCAAGGAAAGACTGGAAAGGTGTCTTGTTTGCTTCTGTTGCAGAGTAGAAAGCAATGACAATGTTTAGACATGGCAAAGACAATACATCAATATGGCAAATGTCTTACTATACAATATCTGTGTCCCAAAGAAACAAAAGGAAAATGTGAGGAGCTCATCTCAAAAAGAATGGATTAGTTTGCTTCTCTTTACCTCTAGTTCTCTCCTTTTCTTCCTCAGTCAGGTGCTCAGTTCTGGTTCTGGTGACCACTTCTACATTGTGTGCACCAAATACCTACAGAAGACAGTAGCACTTTTAGTACATATGGTTATTCTGCAACAGGGGCATAAACAGTAGTGTCTACATATTAAGGCAATACAGGAATCAGCACCATTGCAGCAACAGTGAAGTTGGTATGTTGGTCATCAAGAGGACAGCAACAGAACGAGTAACAGCAATAGTATGAAGAACATTCAGCACCAAGGACAACAACAGCAATGTTATCATAAAGGTCAATCAGCACCAAGGACAGCAACAGGGATGTCAGTATGAAGGTCATTCAGCACCAAAGACAGCAACAACAATGTCAGTGTGAAGGTCATTCAGCACCAAGGACATCAACAACAATGTCAGGGTGAAGGTTATTCAGCACCAAGGACAGCAACAGTGATGTCATTATGAAGGTCAATCAGCACCAAGGACAGCAACAACAATGTCAGTATGAAGGTCATTCAGCACCGGGGCAGCATTGTTAATATGGAAGCCATTCAGCAGCAAGGACAACAACAGTGATGGCAGTATATCAGTTTTATCAAAGAGTTCATACAATGCTGCCACTAGTCTATTACATGATCTTATTGCTTATTATTGTATCATATCTACCTACCTTAATTTTTAAGAAATCTCTCCTACTGTTATCTACAAAAATAGTGCCTCACCTATAAGAATGAAATCTCCTACCTTTGCGTCATAGCCATTGACAGTTTCACTCTTATCACTCCTCCACCCCCATATCCCAGACTTGGTTCTCTCAAACGCGATGTTCTTGGTCTCCATGTGAACCGTGACGATCGGCTGACCCATGCGGGCGCAGACGATGTCGTCGGTGGGCGTCATGGCGTCCGGGCTAAGCTGGGGACCGTTCATTTGTAGACTTTCCACGAAGACAAGATGGCGGTCATGGTCCACCTCCATCAGCGTGGCAGAGTCAACTGGAATTAACAAAGTGTTAATCATTGAAGGCCATACATTACAAACGAAATAACTTGCAAAATTGACATAACTGCTTACACCTGGGTTTAAAAACTATTTCTTTTTTGCAATACTTGTTTAAATGTGTTCTTTAACTTCCCAAATACATGTTTTTTCTTAGTCTCAAAAATTTGCGCAGGTGGATTTTCAACATAATATGTGTTGAGAGAGGGGAAACCTGTAATGAGACTGCAATGAAATGGACTTTTGTTGCCAAAACAATACGAGCATTTGGGGCTTGATTTGTATCCCGATGACTGGTGATCTTCTTTTCAAACCAGAAAACATGTAGCAATGAATTTGAGGGTCATTATCCAATCAGTGTGCACTTATCAGCTTACCTTCTCCCTTAAAGATGTAGCTCCTACTGCCCCGCTGCCAGGACATCTGGTCAAACCCCAGCAGGGTGGTGTCCACACGGACATAGCTGCCTTTCTTCCACAGCTTGTAGGTGTCACTAGGACACATGCGGGACACTAGAGGGACTGGGGAAAAAGGACAACAGTCAGGCAAACATTTGGCTACAGGGTCACAGTCAGAGTAAAAGAAGATAGAAAATTTTTAGGTCAAGTAGTTCAACTTACCCCAACTTGTGAACTCCCATTTCATTTCAACATAAAAGTCAGGAGTCTGGGGGAGGGGGGGGCATAAAAATACATATTAGAAAATTTTTAAGTGGTTTAATTTGATATTATGAATTAGCCAAGTTAGCTTAGAAACAGCATAGTAAAGCTTAGGTTGCTATTTTGTGAAGATTTTTTGTCCAATCCTTGTTGTAATCTCCCATAAGAACACAGTTTAACAAGAAAATGCATGTAACTTATGACTATAAGAAAACTGTAGACTCTAATTCCCATTTGTTTTAAATTTTGAGGGTTATAGTAATTTGGAAGAAACAGCAGCTCCCTGATATTTGGTTGCAGGTATTACAAGTTGCAAATGAGATTTCTGAAAAGCTGAATCAGTACTGACCGATCGTAGTTTAGCCAAGAGTTCGGGCACCCCGTCTATCCTGAGAGAGGCTCGCTGGAAGTCCCTGTGCTTCAGGGTCAGCTGCACCAGCTCTGGGTTCCCTGTGCTCACTGCCTCCTGTAACACTGCAGCATGGACACAGACATTACCAGCTTCTCTATGGTATCAGGCATTGTTGCTTGCTAAGGACATTTGGTTGTGCTTGGACTACAATACAACGGAGGTACTAGTTTTGTACATTGTCTTTTTTTTTCTTATCTTGAGCGTGGTTCTGGACTGGTCATTGACCTTATTGGTTTGGAGCAGAAGAAGAGGAAACAGAGCAAAAACAATGTTTTACTTCGGTAAACATAAAACTTTTGTGTCCCACCTGTCCATCCACAAGCGTTCTCCGTGCTGATGAGAGCGCCGTGGCTCAGTAAGGCTCGCGTACTCTCCAGGTGACCCAAGGTCACGGCCAGGTGCAGCGCCGTACGACCTCGTGGGTCCATCCGCTCAAGGTCATGCTGGGGTCAAGGTCATAAAAACATGTACAACATCTTTCAATCAACTAATGTAGTCTTTTGGCTGAAATACTGACATGATGTTGATAATTCTTGTCACTATTCAAACATTATTTTACCTGAGGCAATATTATTTTTTTCTCATTGGTTCAAGTTCAACTTCAAGGAAATGACAAGCTTTCTTGCTTCCTTTAAAATACGCTGCCATATGCTAACTTCATAGCCTGATGAGTATTGGAACTCACTGCACTGGCTATTGAACTGTTAGTGTTATCTGATCGTTGCTGTTATTTTTCTGTCAAATATTTACTGTTTCGTGCTACATAATTCATGGGCACTGCAGGCCGAAAATTAGGTGGAGTAAATGACATTGTTACTAATATTTTTCATTAGTTTCCTTGATATTTACTTTCAGTTTCATTCGGAAATTATATGGTTACATCGGTTCCCAGTATTTTGTGCTTCTGTGGTTTGAGTCTTTGACACAAATTTATTGAGTTGGGACTTTTAAAACGTCAGCCCAAATTTTGGGAACTTAACACTTCTTCCTGTTACAGTCCATGTCGCTGTCTACTACAAAAAAAGCCAGATGAAATAAACAATCTGCAACCAATGAACCGGTAACGCCCCCCCCCCTCCCATCGATCTCTAAAAAAAAATTTCGAACTCCCGCAAAAAAAACTCACCTGATTTTCCCGCAGCTCTTCGAGCAGTTCGTGAAACTTGTTGTGCCAGACGAGCCAGTGGAGCGGGAACTGCTCCCGGATCTGTTCGGCGGTGATCGGCATCGCTTGGCGTCAAGAAACGGCGCAAAACAAGGCCAAATGTTCCAACAACATTCGCGATTTTCTACTCAAACCGGAAGTACAAAAATGGGCTGACTGTTATTTCCCATCACGCACTGCGTCTAGGTCACAGGTCAAAATATTAAAGGTCAAAGGTTACTTAAGGGGCGGGTTGGGTTTTTTTTCCAAGGGGGGCGGGTCTAGATTTTTACAGTACAGTTTAACGTTAAATTTAAGGTTCTAAAACTAACAGAAAGATGGAAACGGAGGAGTGGAGAGAAGAGGGGATGGAGAGGCACTTCTGGCCGCCGATGTTTCTGGACCCGAGTTATCGGTGGGAGGAGTACAGAGTGGGGAGAGGGGTGACACTCCGGCTCCTGGCGGTACAGGACGGAGGGGAGGACAAAACAGCCTCCTGTCTGACAGGTTGTTGTTTAGTCTAGATCGATTGTGTGAAGCCTGAAGGTGATTTTGGTGTGCTTGTTTTAGTAGTAGACGTAGAAGTAGTATATTTACTAACTTGTTATTAACGTTAACGGCAGTGAACCTTAATCCGACACTTTTCAACACTCCTCTGTTAACGTTAGGATCTAGCACTGATATGCAAAATCTTTTAATTGCTTTACGAACTCAATAAGGTATACAGCATAAACAAGGATCAACAAGAGGGCACAGTTGCAAACTGGAGGTCCCTTTGGCCAAGGGAAGAGTTAGACGACAGTCATTTAGCGTCCGGGTCGTTAGGGATTGGAACAGTCTACCACAGGCCGTAATTGACTCAGAGTCAGTAAATGAGTTCAAGACGAACCTAGACAAATACTGGGAGAGCATAAAGTATAACACTGAGTGAAGTCGAGATTGGGATCACCACAGGATTACCTCTCATCCCGAAGACGGTATCAAGGTATCAAGGTATAAAAACTTGAAACAGTGAGCTAACGAAGTCAACATGTTGTGGAGATGAGGTCATGAAATTTTCAGCCTGTTATATATCATTTAGTTACTATATATTATTAAGTACAATGTATATTACTGGTAGCAATGCCACTGTTGTTGTTGTTTATCGTTCTGATCATTCACACCAGCAAGCAATCCATCCCTACAAAACTAGAGGGCACCAATTGCAACACAAATTACAGATGCCATATGCTAAACCAAACGTCAGGAAGAAATTCTTCAGTGTGAGAGTAATTCAGGCATGGAACAAGCTACCATGAGTAAATCAGTCGATGAGTCATTCGATTCAAGAACAGCATTGACAAATACATAAGGCCCACGATGGACAATAGGCTACCCACCCACTTACTCCTAATTGCAGAGACGTAAGTCTCAGCAATTCAGGTAAATCCAGGTGAAGTGTTAAGGTGAAGCATGTGTTAAGGTGAAGCATGATGACTATGGCTCGCGTATTTAAGGGTGATGTGGCTTTAATATAGACAGTGGTTCGCCGTTTTAACTGCATGGTTTGTATGAAATGTATGCTTCTTATTGTGTTGACATCCCTTTATCCAACAGGTCAGATGGTTTGGCCAGCAGCTAGGGTTCTGTCACGGTATCTTGTGGACCAACCAGAGCTGGTGCAGGATAGAACAGTACTGGAGCTTGGAGCAGGTCATTCTAAACTTTCTTTTGTGAAAGTTCATCTTTAGTACAAGCCTGATAATGCTATTGATGGTAAAGATCAATCCACCCATTTGTGTCTGTCATATCATGAGCACTCAGATTGTACATGTAGTAAAACAGTTGAATATTGAATATATCAAATGGTAGAGAGAAAACAAGCAAATAAAATCATGTGATGGGGTTATCCCTTTACTGCACATCTTTTTTTTAGAATTCTAGAAGCTAGCAACATTTTCCCCTGATCATTCTTTTATCAAATAGCATGAAGTCCTCAAACTACAGTTCTTTTTCATCTCATTTCAGCACCATATGGGACTTCGGCTTATTTGCACAGTACCAGTAATGGCAGTATTAACTTTCTTTGGAAGCATGCATACTTTATTCTTTTACATTATTATTTCTCCACATTCACTCCTACACTACAGGTACGGGCCTACTCGGTTTAGTTGCTGCCAGTCTCTCACCCTGTCCTAGAAAAGTGGTCCTGACTGACAACAACATGACTACGTTGGACATGATAGAAGCAAACATCGAAGAAAACTTTCCCGCTCAAGCAGCAACGACTCCCCACTGTGCCCATCTCCACTGGGGAGAAAACCTTGACAAATTCCTCCACGACCATGGGAAATTTGACGTCATCTTAGGCGCAGACGTGATCCTCTGGATGCAGTACATTCAGCCCTTGTTCGAAACCGTAAAGAACCTTCTTTCACAGTCAGAAACTGCCACGTTTCTTCTGTGTTATCAGTGCAGACGTGCAGAGCTTAAGCACAAGGTGCATGAGGCAGCTAAAGAGGTACATCTGGTTGGCAAAGAAATTCAACTACAAGGAAACGCAGCCTTCTCAGAGCTGGAGAATAAAACAAAGGACACCCTACATCTGATAGAATTTTCTCACCAGTTTGTTAACACGTGTGAAACAAATGCAGTATGCAGTACCATATAGTGGCTGCAACGTTCTTAATAATCTTTGACAATATGAGAGTGTCTTTTACAATTTTAATATAGTGATAATCTCTACTGAAGGTGCAGGGTACTAATGAAATTACATGTATCTATTTTCTTGGAGCACCAGGAAGAACTTTTCCAAATGATCTTGTCAAGATATCTTGTCCTGTACTTTTTGGCCAATTTTGTGATCTGGCCTTTTTTAGAACAAAAGTAGGACTGCTACTAGTACTAGTAAATGTCATTCTGAGAGGTTCTGCAGTTCATAAGAGATTTTATCTGCTATGTATGTATGTCCTAATCTTGAGTGCTGGCATCCAGTACTACAGAATAATTTTTAGATTTACCAGTCTGTGTTGAAGGTGCATGGGCTGCAGTGTATTATTGTAGTTCTTATTCTGTGTCCTGAGTGCTGGCATCCAGTACTACAGGATAATTTTGAGATTTACTAGTCTAGTTGCCCCGACGGCAGTAAAGACTGCTATGGGACCGGTGAGGTGAGGTGAGGTTGAAGTTGCATGTGATGCAGTACATTACTGTAGTTCATACTCTAGATGTGCTATATTTTGCCTATCAGTTATGCCAAATGTTTGCTGTTTTGTTGAAACTTATTATCCAGCTATTGTTTTCTAGCATTGTTGCATTGACTGTCAGACAGAGCTTCATCATTGTATTTTAGCAAGACATTTAAGCAAGTTGCAAGGCATTTCCAAGCTGCTAGGGGGCACATATGCACAAGCCCAGAAGCCATCAGTCATTATGGACAGCTTTATCTTGTAATTGTGCATGTGTCATATTATGATCCCCTTTCTGTGTGCTGTTTTAGATTGAAAATTGTTTCATCTACAGTGCTTTTGAGATTGTTTTGATATGAAAATGTATTCTACTACTAGTAACCCATGTGTGTTGTGTGGTAAAAATACATATTTTTACATTTTCATCAGTATCATATCCTTTCTTTGAGGTATCCAAATACAAAAATAGCCCCTACAATTTTAGTCTAATAAACAAGCACCTTCAAACATAATCTTCCAACAAAATGATTGTAGATCATAAAGTATGATCTTTATTTACTAAGACAGATAACAACGTTAACACAGAACATGACAACAATAGCAATTTCTAAAAAGAGATTTTCACTCTTGAGAATAAAATGCTTCATACCTTCATCAAAATTCTTCTCAACCTTCACACAGCGAAGTCTGAAAGTACCATAAAACAAACACTATACCTCTGCTTGGCGGACCACTAATAGCAACTAAACCATATCTTATACAATGCTGCATATATACACTTACGTATAATTTTTTACATAGCCTGGCTCTAGAATTAGGAAGGAGCCCTCTCTCAAAATTGCATCTTCAAGAACAACCAATAATCATATTCTATATTGGTGGCACAACAGTGAATGCTGGCACGTACAAATTCTAGTCTACTTTGTGGTAGGATAAAATCTCTCAGCCTCAAATAATGACATACAAACATCAAAGAGGTTTAAATCTTGCAAACATCTAGTTAAAATGACTATGATAGTACTGGAAATAGAGCAGGCTCCGCCAGTGAGGCGTCGCCAAAAAGACAGAAATCCAGAAAATTCCATACTAAGTGAGGTCACGTGTATGTGAAATATGTATCTAAACACTGATGTAAAATGTGCTTTGTCCTGCAGTCGCAAACGTATGTGATTTTTTTCTTACATTTGTCAACTCTTCTGCATGATATGACGTATATAAAACATATGAAGATATGTAATTTCACTGAACGTCGATCTAACCATATGTCATAGTCTAGCGACCATGTACTAGTAGTTTCTTTTCACTGGCATCTGTATCTTTGTGGGCAGTGACCATCGTATATACCTCATAACCAGAGGCTAGGGAATAATATTTATCTGGACGTAGCCATGCAGTTATAGTTAAAGACGCTAGCAAAATGGCATTATTATGACACGTACAGTTGATGAAATATTTGCGAAAGGCTCAGTCGAACTTAAAGTGTATCAAAGGGCAAGATCAATGAAACAACGTTTATATAAATAGATGCATGTGAAATGCGATTGTGTGTTTTTTTTTATATGAACATTCATTTTGTTGTGAAAACAGATCTGGGATCCGAAGTTTAATGACGTGATTTGAATGTATGATGAGCTGGCCAGAGTCGATATGAATTTGTATCGAAGTCCCCAACAGAATTACTGGTAGAAACAACCAATTGCAAAATCACTTAAAGTGTGAAGCCCTATTAAATTCAACCTTAATAAATACAGCGTAAACTTGGTCCTCGGTCTAATTCATTATAAGGTTATATAAAAGGGTTGCTGGTAGGTCAATTACTGGGACTACTACAGGTGTGTAATTGAGTGTGTCGCACCGTTTTGAGCTTTAGTTATCACCCTATACTCTATTTAGCCCTTCGGTTGAAGAAATCTGAAAAACTGAAGAATCCGTTGTAATTGTTGTTGTACTCGTCTCCGGATCCGGTCTCGGCGTCTCCGGATGATTCCTCGTACCCTTCCTCCACGTCCAGCCCGCCCTCGTACACAGTGTTCGTGTCAGGCTGCTGGTCATCGTCTTCAGACCCGGGTACGATGTACGGCGGGATGTGGTGAACGGGGATGTCCCCTCTGTCGGGAACCTCCAGGATCGGAGGGATGACCTGTGACGGCACGCTGCCCGACTGGTCGGGGGAGATCTCCCCGGGCCTGCCCCCGTACGGAGGTAACACCTGTATGATACCGTCATCGGGCTGGAAGTCGTCCCCGCTCCCAGGCTCCTCGTACTCCGGCTCTTGTGGTTCCTCGTACTCCGGCTCATGCGGCGATATGGGGTGCCAGCCGTCGTAATCAGTGTACGGCGGCTCGGTGCCTCCATCCTCACCGTAGTCAACGCCGTCGTCGGGTTGACCATAATCTGGCTGAACGTAGTCGGGCTTGTTTTCGTCTGTGATGTCCACGGAATCGCCTTCCTCTGGTTGACCGTAGTCAGTTACTTCAGGTTGTCCGTAGTCGGTGCCGCTTTCGTCGGGTTGCACGTAATCGGGTTGTCCATAGTCTGTTTCAGGTTGCCCATCGTCCGTTCCCGGCTGTCCGTCGTCCGTTTCGGGTTGTCCGTAGTCCGTTTCAGGTTTCCCATAGTCCGTTTCAGGTTTCCCATATTCTGTGTCTGGTTGCCCATAGTCTGTGTCTGGTTGTCCATAGTCGGGACCGCCCTCGTCCGGTTGCCCGTAGTCTGTCCCGTCAGGCTGCCCATAATCCGGACCACCGTACGGTGGCTGAGATTCGTCAGGTGTCTCGTGATCCGTACTCCCTGGTATGACGTTCTCTAGCTCTGGCGTTCCGTAGTCTGTACCATCAACGACTGGCGCGTCTGTACCGACGTCTGGTTGTCCATAGTCAGGTTGTCCGTAATCTGGCTGTCCGTAGTCCGGCCCGACGTACGGCGGTTCGGTACCACTGTAGTCTGGCCCGACATACGGAGGCTCGGTACCACTGTAGTCCGGTACTCCGTCATCACTGGTATCGTAGGGTTGCTGTGTGCCGCCCACGTCAGGCTTTTCGTAACCGTAATCCGGAACGAACGTGTCTCCAGTTCCCGTCGCGTCCGGTATGAGGTTGGTGTCCCAGGACGTCTGCGACCCGTCATAGTCCGGCTTGCCGCCCTGGTTACTGCCGAACGGAGGCACGTACTGCCCGTCGGTGGGGGGTATGAAGCCGCCATCTTGAGGTTTACCCGCTGTGGGCGGGAACTGTTGCTGGGCCACGTCGATGCCGCAGTAGTCGGGCACTCCGACAGCTACATGGCAACACAATATGTCCATTGGTCATTAAATTTCATAGGTGTGGCTAACAACGTCGGCCAATCCAAATCATGTACGGAAAATACAACAGTAATAGCTTCAAATACATTTCAAATACCGCACATACATTTTTGCTTTGCCTTAAAGCTTTGGCGTCTGGCATGAAATTCCTATGACTTGTCTATTATGAATACAACAATGTGATTACGACATGTATTTAATTTTCCTGCATAGTTTCTACGTATACAGTAATTTCAACTCCCATAACAATATACATTCATCAAAGATAAAATGGGCGGTGGCATGCGTGATTTAGCTAATAAAATGGGTAGAGATAATAACAAGAATTCAAAAGTGAAAAAAATGTCTCCACCACTGAGGCGTCGCCTAAAGAAATTATATCTGAGGCGTTATCAAAACCAATGGCTGGTGTAATGAGCTGGTTGCAGTTTCATACTAGTAGTCTTTACCTTGCGCCTGATGAGGTGCGGCCGCTATGACGCCTTCCAGAATCATCAGCCGCTCGTACAGGGCACAGATGTGATCCTTCATGCCTCTCATCTCCTCTTCATTGGCGGGCAAGCCCTGGAAGGGACGCATTTGAGAGAAAATGAACATTAGGCTTTATGCTAAGGCAGCTTCCTGTCTGATACATATAAATGCACATATCATACAAGAAATCTGTAGGCTGAAATATTTTTACAGTAGCATCATGGTTTTGCTTTGAATTCTTGTAAATTGTGTATAAAGCCAGCTGGATCGCATCCTATGGTTTTTGTGACTGACAGGTTTGACTCATCTCTGTGGTTAGAACCTATGTTCTACTAGCTACCGTGTACTGTCACCACCCAGTCAACATTGATAGACATGATAAACGGACGAAGAAGGCTATCAGTCCATGTTCTAACTGTCATGTAAGTAGTGAGCACATCAAGCCTACATTTGGTCGAGAGGAAATTTTAGGCCACCCCAAGTTTGTTGAAAGAAAGAGATATGAAGTTGTAAAAATCTATTTCATGGACTGAACTAGTGTCATTTTCACGACACGTATATTGAAAGGGGTAAATGGACAGGTGTGCGTGCGTGATACATGTATATACGCCATGGAACATGGAAACCAGCCAATTGACCTAACCCATTTCCTCACGGAAGTGAGCAGAGTTTAATGTTTGGTTTAGGTAGCTACACTCGACTTCCGTTCGTAATAGCTTCAGAGAGTGCCATAGAGAGGTCATAAAACATTGAATTCATGGTCGATAACGTGTCCGTTTCACTGTGTAAATAGTGAGAGGAAAGCAGTTAAATGAAGCTTTCATCAGCCGTTTAAGCGCATTTCCACACTCAGCTAAACTGGTCATGGGAGCCATACTATTGCTTTGGCCAATACAGGCCAACTCTTCGGAAACAGGACCAACATCACATGCACCCCAAGGAAATTTTTCTATAGCCCCCTCAGTTGGTAAAACGGCGAAAGGTGCGTACAGTGACAAGGAAACCCATCCTGTAGCCCTGAGAGACTGGTGACCAGGTTATTATTGACAAAAGGGTGTTGTTGCGGCGAGGTCCATGGCCGCAGCACGACTCAGATGTTTCAACACAGGTCTGACAGTATATCTGAGGCCTCAAAACAAACTTGTGGGCGTCTTGGACACACGATGTGTGAAACGTTACAGATGACGTAAACATGCATCCATTCGGTGAAAATAGCAAACAACTCCTACAAATTCTACACGCCTATATACAATATTTGTTTCTAGTAGCCAAAATTATAGATTTTATGGATGCGTCGAAACGTCGATCGGGGGCGAACGGGCAAAAAGTACTTGACATTGGTAAAATCTGAAACCGGATCCGTAGTTCCAATGTGATATAGTCTCTTACATAAACAAACAAAATTTCATGTCCTTACATTACTGTTACGTAAGGTTTGTTAATGAGTCAGAAACACCGAACGCGATGGAATCAAATAGCGAAGGTTGGCCGACAGTTGCCACCGAAATAGACGGGCAAATTGCACTTGACCTTGGAAAAAAATCTAAAATACCCCAAGTACTACGACCGTGTGGCCGGACCCCAACGCACACACAGTATGGGGCCGCTCAAGGTGAAGTAAGGTGTAAATCCCGTTAGAGAATTAATAGGGCCGGATGGACCTCTAGACACACAAACAGTCCTTGGGCCAGTCTCACATAAACACGGGGATGTAAGGTTTATTTTCCTTGTGATTATCGCCAGCCTGACGAGGGTCGGTGTGAGAAGGTCACTTGGGTGAGTCCTGAGATAGGAGTATCAGTGAACGGACCAGGCGGAGATGTGGGAAGTATCACGTACATGAAGCTCGTGTTGTGGCGTGCGTGACGACTCGAGGGTTGGGTTCAGTTAGGGACGTCCTCTCGGATTGGACGTAAAGACGAAGGTCCTATGTTTGAGGAGAGCCACACTCCGAGGCCCAAGCACTTGAAAGAACCCATCGAAACTTTAATAAATCAATAAAATTGATGGTAGGGGTACATTCTTGTGTGGGTGGATGAAATCTATCAGTCTTGATGGTCATACGCATCTTGCACGTGAAAACTTTGCGTGTGTTACAACTGAAGGTGGTTTGGGTGTAAACGTTCTTCCGTCAGTATGACGAGGACCGCTTTTGTAATCCATCTATAGTCGCATGTGTCCTCATGTGGCTGTAGAGTCCTATGGGTGGTTTACCAGCTGGTGTATATGAGAAAAAAATACACAAAGTACTTACAGGTACTCCAGGCGCTCCTGGTAGACCAGGTTCCCCGGCTGGCCCAGGTTTCCCGGGGAGTCCGTAAGGCCCAGGCGGGCCGGCGGGACCAGGTGTACCGGGTATACCAGGTGTACCGGGCGGCCCGGCAGGACCGGGTGGCCCGCCTGGGTCCGGCCGGTCCTGCGGGCCCAGGAGGTCCGGCAGATCCAGGACTGCCATCGCCCGTCAGCGCACCCGCGTCCTCTACTGCTGCAGCATTGTACGACCAACCTCCTTGGTCTGCCGAGAACAAACGGTAAACTTGTTAGTGAGGAAGGCTGGTGTGTTAAGGTCGCTGTAAAGGTATATTGAAAGTATATGTTCAAAGGCAATAACTGATAATTGACTCTTGGAAGGTGTTCTTCTTGCAGACTCCTAATCTGGACTTCAGGCAAAACATGCCATGGTTGGCAATAAAATGCGGTTTGCTTTATTCCTATTATTCTGTCGCTGTCTCAAACCATGTGATAAATTTCATTAATTGTGTATATAATGACCCACACACAAAAGCACAAATGTCTCAAAGCCAAAGGAATGTTCCACCATTTAAACATACATCAATTTCCGTCGTAAGACTGTGAGAATGTCTTTTTATAACTATCATTGCCATCAGTGTTGTTGTTCGCGCTGCGACGTCACGATGTCTGTCCTGTGTGTTTTTGGTCAGGATTTGTTTCAAAAGAGTCTGTCGTAATCAGAGCAAACTACAGGCTGAGCTAGCATGTCAGTTGTTACAGATTACAATCTCTCTGAAGCTCTGTATGTATATCATATGGATAGAAGTTGGAGAAAAACTACTTAGAGATATAATAAGGTTACAATTATATATCGTTTGTTACGATGTCAACCATCGCTATTGAATTGTTGCAGTAGCTATATGTATACACTGTCGGTTAAAGTAACTGCCATGTCTATCGTTATTAAATAACAATTAATAATCATACTACACGATAAATATAAGTTATCGTATTATTCATCATGTTAGCTATAAGAGGACAAGTCGCAACTGGACCTTAAATGGTCAAAATTGTCTGACTTTGAAAACATAGTTTGCAACGTTTTGTTGTAGAGTACGTCACACCTTTAACAACCTCAAAACATTTTAATTTCAAGATTAAGTTTGTAAAGTTATCGTTTATAACGTTAACAGTACAGGGTGACTTTGTCCTCTTTCAGCTGTTACATGGACTGGCCTCCACCCTCTATCCAATCACAGAAAAACACGGTTGGTGCAAAAACTGTACATGTGTTAATGAATGCACAACATACACTGCTCCCGGTGTAGCGGCCAAAGCCTGACCAGAATGTACCCTGGTACTATCAGTTCAGGGGTGCAGTTTGGGCTGTTATACCAGGACGACAGGGCAGATGTTGTTCATTTTGTCCAAAATTGCAGGAAGACAGTTGAAGTCACATGATGGGCCCGTCACAGTTTCCCATGTACTAGTACTAACCAGTGCCTATCTGTGTAAGATAAAGACATAGAAGCCATTCTGTGCAACAGTTGTAGGTTTTTAGTCTATGTCTACATCACCTGGTTGGTTAGCTAATGGAGGAAAGCCCGTCGCTACTAAGAAGGGATCAGCGTCACGTCCTGGTAATCCCGGCAGCCCGGGGTCACCAATCTCCCCTGGTGGCCCTTGTGGGCCCGCCTGGCCAGGAAGACCGATCGGGCCCCTGTCTCCCGGCGGCCCCGGGGGTCCGGGGAAACCTGGTTGACCCCTAAGCCCGGCCTTTCCGGGAGGACCAGGAGGCCCAACCGGACCGGGCTGACCCTGAATTCCCGGAAGGCCGGGTATCCCCTCAGGCCCAGGCGGGCCTTGGCCTACAGCCCCCGGGTCAGCGAAGCTTACGTTCTTCATCTGTAGAACAGAAAGTACGTCTGATGAGATTGGTCATTGCTACAGAGAACATGCAAATGAGCGCCCTATGCCCTTATATGGATACCTGATGGTTTCTGGGGACCAGACGGATGCTGGGTGGACTGGGTGGCCATTGCTTTCATCTGGAGAAACAACAGGTGGGAAAAACAACAACAACAACCTGTCAACAGGACATACGTCATCACAGGCACTACACCTCTGGCGTGTCCTGTACAACAGTAAAACCTTGCATATCAGACCATTTCTAATATTTCAACGAAAATATTTTAATTTCTCACTGTGAAACATAGGATGGCTATTACATAAATTTTATTTCTGTGACCCGCAAATGCCATGACCATGCAAATACCCATCAACTTATTCCAAACAGCGCATTTGGGTTTTATTATTTTGGCAGGCTTAACAGGTTTCTAGCACAAGCATGTAGATGTATACCTGCACTTCTATCTCCAACAGTCTTCTCTCCAAGGTGTCCACTCGACCACAGCAATCTTTGGGAATGAAAAAAATATTGCAATTGACGAATACACTATACTATATATATATAACTAGTACATAGTACAGATCCTGGCTGCCATGTTTCTCAATGATGAGTAGACTTTTTCAACATCAAAAACGACGGTGGAAGACGAAATATATTTCATCCCTAACTTGTCTTTCAAAGATTATTTACGAAAGACTTTTGTGGGAGTGCTACAATATAAAAAAATCCGCCACATTACCCTATTAGTCTTCAAGCAAGAATTTGCAATTAAGTTATTGAAATGTTATCTTCATATGTACAGTATATTCTTGCCCGGACGCAATGGTTTCTTATGGTTTCGTTCACTACTTGTTAGTTTTAAGAGAGACAAGACAGAGTTTCCTGTATCCGCGCTCACAGATCCGTTTACCCTGATAGCTCTTCCATAATGTCATCATCCCTGTGTCTAACCGGCATGTCATTTTGTATCTTTCCCATAAACCGTATCCGTTTTTCTCAAGCCAATCATTTTTGCTGGGCCAACTCGTCTGACTAGGATACGGAGCCAGTTCCTGTACGGAAGATCTTGACCCGTATATATGCGTATCTGCCGGATACAGCTTTACTGAGTTCGAGGCCCACGATCCGTGTACTTTTCCGTTTTACATCCACCTAACCCGTCATGACACCACCCAGATAGTGGAAGGAACGGATTTATCAAAGGATACGACCTTCTATCACTTGTCCATCGTGTCCATACAGACATAGCTGCAAACCAGACGTTTATACTAGCATAAAACATAGTGATAAATGGTTGGAAGTTGTTTGACAGCGCAGAAGAAAATTGCAATTGCAATTGCACTACGAACCGCCACGAGTCGTTGTTCTGATTCGCCTGAGAGTTTTCAATGAAATTTTGAATAGGGAATGTGCGGGTGTCAGTGGAGAGAAATGCAATTCAGGTATTGGGTAAAATATGCAAAGACGAACTTTTGAAGAGGGGTAGGATAGGAATAGAGAGGAAGGACAATGAGCAGTTTAGTTGCAAATTCATGCCCGAAGGCTGAATGCAACATAAGACACAGGTGATAAGAGGAGCAAGTGACGTTCTAAAAATTGCTACAGACTAACGTTGCAATCTAAGCCTTTTGGGTTTGACAATTTTTTTTTTTACAAAATATAAATATGACCCTCTCGCTCACCAGGTGGTCGTCCAGGGTAGTGCTCCAGGCAGGCGGGAGGGTTGGTTGTTGTGGCCGTTGCCGTTGCCGTTCCCATTGGGGAGGTAGGTGGGTCGGTGCTGCTCCTGTACCCGCTGGTCACAGTTCCTCCCGGTGAACCCGGGACAGCACCTGTACCGCTGTTCCGTCACGGTCTTGTAGGTCAGCTGCTGGCGGGGACGGAACGCGATGCGGTAACTGTCGGGACAGAAGGAGAAAACTACGTCTGAAAATAATATACACAAAAACCGAAGTTCTGCTGCAGTACCAAGGTCAGTCACCAGGAGGCCAAAATTTGACCTTGACCTTCGCCTTCCTACGACCTACCCACGTACCAAATATCGTCACAATCCATAAAGTACTTCTTATACTGACCAAAGGTAACACATACAGACACACACACACACAAACACTTGTTGATGATCCATTAGCTAGCTTACCATTTTTTCTATGCAGACATTTAGAATCAGTCTCTTGTGACCTTGTCACACTTGACTTGACACGTCTGAGATGTACATCTACGAGCATCGCTTGCTCTAACTACAGTTAACTACAGTTTTGTTAAAACGTCGTCAGACCATGGGAAAGGGTCGTATTAGATTGATCTTCATTATACTAGTAGCTTGATAAAAGGATTCGACCTATCTTTGAAGGGTTACAAAGTACAGTGCATTAACCAATCCTAATCTCACTGTAAAGTGGATAGGGGAGATGAGATGTCGATAGGAGAAAATGCAGTTCCTAATGGAACTCTTAATTGATTAGAATAATCCTCAGTACATCATTAAGATTAGATCTAAGACAAGTAAAATCTGATATTTTATACCTCCGGGCTTTTTATTGTATATTTTTATATGTAATATTTTATGTAAGAAGATGTTATGTGTAGTTGATGGTGTTGAATTTTATGTGTTAGAGAAGATGCATGTGCACAACAACAATTGTTGCGCGCCGCAGGACTAGGGGTTTAAACAAAGAATTTATCGAGACTGGACACCCCTCTTTGCGAGGGGTCATATACGTGGACCTGCCCGAGAATATATTAGACACGCCAAAGGTCAACGGTCGCGACCATTTTCAAGCTCAAAGGGGTGTTCTGGGGCCACCAAAAGGCACCATTTTCCTGCCCGAAAACACATATACAAGAAAAACAAAAGAACGTGCATCATCTACAGTCCAATAGCAAAACATATACCGAGTCCCAAAAGAACCCGTCCAACCAAACGCGAGAAACAGCTGCGAACATGAAAATCTAAATCTCTTACAAAGCCCTTTCGCGGAAGGATATCTCCTCCCCGGAGGCAATAAGTTTTTAGAGCATTTTTGTATACAGTTGAGGCTTTCCTGAGTTCAAAGGGCAACGTAACTTCGGCAAGGAAAAGTCTGTTTATATTGTAAGATTTGAATACCTTTCGCCGCTACTTTAAATCACTGAAAAAAAAAACATGCTCTTGTACCTCAGACAAATGTCCAAATGGATCACAAACCACGATACAAGTTACAAGATAGAAGTGAAACTTTATATCTAAGACACCAAAGACCCCCATTCTTAAACAGCTAATATAAGGCCACGTGGCTCTGACCCTACATACGTGAGACATCACATGAACTTGGGACTGTTTATTTTTTCAACCCCTGGCGGGGATTTTGAGGTAATCCTCCCGGACCTCCTACCAAAAATGCAATCATAAAGCATCTCAACAGAATGTATACAGATTTCAGATTAGATGTATACTATTATGATATACTTTTAGTTCACCAGAAATGGATCACGAAAATCCGAGAAAAAATGTACTCTCACGTCATGTTTAGCCTTAGATACACACCTCTCATATTTGTAGCCTATGTTAGATTTACGATAAACAGGCAATTATGATTGTTCTCTAACATAAGCTTATCTCAGACTGCTGTGCTAACAGTAACAGGGGGTGGGCTTTAAGTCATGGGTTAAGTCATAAAAAGAGGTCAAGGTAAGGCTACCCACACACTCCTATGTATAATTCAATTATACTTGTGGTTATGGACATATTGACGAAAAGGTCGTGAAACTGTGGGAGGTCCACCGTCGGTCTGGGAGCTGTCTGCATACCAGTGGCACGAACAGAAAGGTGCACTGTTTTGACAGGAATGCGGACTGTGTTGATATACGTAAAGCTCGCGTACTAAGACCAGGGATTCCGGAATGTGTGGCTGTGGCTAGATCAAGCAATTCTGTGCAATGTGCCAAAATTAAGTGGTTTGCTAACTTCCGTATACATTTCTTCTTGTTTTTAATTCCAACTGCCTTACATATTTTCAAAGAGATATTTTGACCTCAAGTTTCATACAGGTGCACGAGACCTCATCTGTGACGTCACATACCAAGATGGCGGTCCCATGTGGTTCTAGCAATGCTAATCATGTGCGGACAATACTACACAGTATTTCTCTCCACCGCCTAGAAGACGTCAGGGTCTGAGAATGCTTCCCTGTTGGGAGCCGTTCCAAATCACTAAGGGTTATTTTCCAAAGGTCCCAGCCTGCTAGGGCTGCGCTAATTAACCCTCACACCCAACAAAACTTGGCGTCCAGATGTTTCAAGTTCAAGTACAACTGAAGAGCACCGGAAGTGGGCGCTAAACGGTTCATGGGCAAAGCGAGCAAACTTTCTAGATTAGACTGACTGCGTCGTTATTTCTTGTTTAGACCAAAGCCTTTTAGACTAAGTAACGAGGGAGATCAGAGGTAATGATTAAGGGTGTGGGAGTTGGAACCTGTCGTGGTGAAAACGTCGTCCTAATGATTGGACAGATGTGAGGGGGAGGGGGGCAAAAGGAATGAGAGGCAGGGAGCAGGTGCGAAAGGACATTATCTGTATTCAATCCCTCCCCTCAATGTGCTGAGAGACAATCAAAACCTGCTACATATATTTTTCGAAATTTTGAAATATGTATGTATATTTTGCGGTGATGTTCTGGGAAGGTATTTGTTACAATGGTATAAAATATAACTTATTTAGGAAAAGGGGCATTGAAGGAAACAAAGATATTCACGATGTGCAAGTAAAATGCTTACAGTCTGCTAGCCTGGCACTTTAGAGATTTCCCTCTGGGATACTGGCAGCTCAGACAAAGGAGTTTCGTTACCTCAAACAAGGAGTAAAGAGTTCAAGGCTCTGCTGTCAATTCCTCGCATGACTATACACCTGTTTCAGATAAAGAACACAAGTGAGAAATTTGTCTGCGAACATGAGACTAGTGACCCTCCAAGAAGAATTGAAAACACCTTTCAGCGAAAACAGTAGCCATGTGTGTGGGGAATGACTTGTTTATGATTTCAAAACTTCGAAGAAATTGGGACTGCGCAATTCATATAACCATGGGAGGTATGCTCACACAATTTCTGTCCGTCGAGGCCGGAGGTCGTCAATTAATGGTCTATAGCTTGAAAAACAAATTCTTTACATTTTGGACAAAAACGAGGACTATACGATTACGAGATGTCGCGATTTAAACAGGCATATTTACTAGAAGATTCCAACCAAGCCAAGACACCAGCCAAACATCCAACGGGCATACTAAAGACATCCTTGACGGAGAAAATGAAAGGCTTTTGACTGGAGGAGAACTTATCGTCACATGTGTTGTTGCTGGTAAATATTTAAAGCATTCGCCAGATGTAACTCAATACGTAAAGTGGCATTTCAATGTATGCTTGTGTTTTACAGTTTCGAAAAATATACTCGGTGTACTTCGGCAATAAACCATTATACTTTTAATGAGTAATTAGTGCACCAAAGTAAATCTAATCACCAAGGGAAGGATATTGTTTCCTTTCTTTGTTAATCTTTTACCCAATTGACTTAAGTATATAAACAAAATCGTCTTATTTCCTCCCTTGACTGGGCCGACTTAAAGCTCACATGTCTTGGAGGAAGAAGACCGGATTCACACCGTGCAGTGTCTGTCATCCCGGGGAGATATTTTGTAAACACAAGAGTTGAGTGTTGCGCCACCTCTTCTCCACCGAGATGTCCTACATGTGTTACATGCAAACATCTAGCTCAAAGGCCGGGACAGAGGTGGCCATCCCTGGGGGCTTTAACTAAATCTTCTCTCTCGTCCGTTTAGACTTGTTTCTTCCTTCCACAAATAAGTAAAAAGGTGACACGACCTGAATACAATCCCAGACGAGGTCCCAAACACGTCGTGTTAACTGTAACATCAGCACGTACTGTTGAACTAGAAGTGCATAGTTCGTGCACGGTGCTGCGGAGTAACTGCGGATAGCCTGTGTGTCCGCGGAGTTTGCCTGTGTGTCGGTGTAAGTCGTGACTTTCGAGGTTTTCTCACAAACCTTCGGGTAAATACAAACCGCTGTAGGGTCAATAACGTTCGTCGGTAGGTCGCCGAGATAAAGGGACCAGACACCACACTCTCCCCAACAAAATAATGACTTATTCCGAGTAATATTCAACACGAAAATATTGGTTCATAAGGTTATTGTGGAATAAATGAATAATCAGTGCAACCATCTGCATGCAATTTAAGAGGAGAATATGATATCTTACGGGAAAGTAAACTGGTCTAACAAGAAACACCGGAGAAAGAGGGATTTGTAAATCTACATCCATGGTGCCGGATTTTCTCTTTGCCTAATAATCACGATAAATGAAGATTTGTTAACAATTTTAATACTTTAGAAATTAATAAATCAATAAGTAACGACGTCTGGTCCGATTAACAGCAAAGCGATTGTCGTGAGCAGGTGTTGTCTGGACCCAGTAGTTTTACGGCAATGGAATATATAAACATGGACTGGTGTTATAGAACTTTCAGGTGAGGACCCCCCCCCCTCCTCCCTAAATACATGATGCCCTCTGTGAGTAATGCGTTACTATCTATCTATGCATGATAGAAATTGGCTCATAGTGTCGCTAGGACACATAATATAGGGGGCCGGAGTAGGTAGGACAGTGACCCTGCTAAGTACAAAACAACACTGCACATGGTATATCATTTCTCTGTGAACTTATCCATTGTTACGTTACTCACGAACAGTGTGATAGGACACTGGGACAATATTGCTGCCCCCTTAATACGATCTTCACATGTTACAATCGCTTTTGCCATCGCCGTTGTCCCGTAAGTTTTGTACCCCGTATATCCCTCAGAACTTTCATCACTGCACGACACACTCAAGCTGCCAACACGAAATCA